TAAAAAAAAGCTGTGTATGTTTTTAATCCATACGGAATAGCAAATAATCGTCTGCATAGAGGAAACACATTTGTTGGAACTTCTTTTATTTACAAGGACATTTTAACCATTAACCCAAGACTTTTTAAAAAAAAAATTTATAGAAATTTTGAAATCATCTTATGGGACCAAATTTAGGTATTTTATTTTTACCAAAAAGGACATATCTCCCCCCAACCTGCCCCTAAGGTCCACGATTATTGATGGTCCTTAGGTCTTTGTAAGGAGGCCAATTCTTTTTGTACTTTATCCAAACATAATGCAGCGTATATGAAAACCTGTTTGTTTTTTCGGCATTGCTGTGAAAAAATATCCAGAGAGATAAAGAAATATAAGCCCTGGATATTATCTACCAAAATGGGATGTTGGCTTTTAATCCTTGCAGTGAGCAAAGGAGTAAACATTTATTTTTAAACCCTTCACTGTCAGCCTGTGGAGTCAATAGCCTTTGACTCCTTAAGTGTCCATCAGTAGCTTAAAAAACATGATCTGTCGTCGTGTTAATGTCGGATCAATAAAAATTTTACAAATACTGACCCTTTTTGTCATAAATAAAAATCAAATCCTATTTAGCAATGGGAAAAACTAAACATAAGGAGGGCTATCAGTTTAACATGTTAAATCTATTGATTAATTAGTTACACAGCAAATGAATGTGTTTTTTAAAGAATTGCAATTAATTGAGAGTGTCAATTCAATGCATTGTAAATTAGGGCCACTAAATGACCCGGGCAGTGGGTGCCTCTAATGCACCTACAGCTGTTTGCAAACCACCAACCCCAGGAAAAGAAGACACATCACCATTTACCACCTGTATGTTCCTGGCCAAAGTGCGGTATGGACATAATAGAGGGAGCAAAGCATTGCTAGGGCCTTTGAATGACAAACTTTAAAGAGAATCAACTGCAGCAAGGTAATCTTTAATTATGTCAGGGGAAAATCTGTGGCTACAGCTTGTTAGGATAATTATCATTGAAGATGTGTGAGTTTATTACACCTTGGTATTGGCTGCCTGTTATAATCTTCATTTTGCACATGGCAAAGATTTGGAAATGGAATGAGAGCAGTGTCCTTCAGCTAAGAACAAAGTGTAATATTTTGATAAGCCTGGAACCATGGATGTCTAATCATCTACTAACGTGTCTGATGTAAAATGTGATGATGTGGCAGACTGGAGATGTATAAAATACATTTTTAATTGTTAATCGGGGCCACTTCCTGAGAGGTGAGTCCGGAGGTGAGCTGCTGCCTTCTGTACATTCAAAGCAATTTCTCTGATCTGAGTAAGATTACAACTTGTATCAGAATCTGTTGTCATGTCTCCTGGCTATTTAATACATAAGTTATGAAGTTTTATTTAAAGAGTTTGTCCCGAGTGATCTCTTTTCAGGGAAAATAACCGATCTTTAACAAGCTGTTGGTGCTTCCGTGAGCACACTTCACCACCCCATGATTGACGAATGAGGTAAACGAAATAAATTGAGGCAGAAGTAGGTTGATCAAAGAGAAACTGGGCAGAGTTAGGATGCTAAATTAAAAGAGTAATCCAGCCAGTGGGCTGCGCAGTGGATAGCACTGCTGCCAATAAGGTTCTGGGTTCGATTCCCGGCCTGGGGTCTTTCTGCATGGAGTTTGCATGTTCTCCCTGAGCATGCGTGGGTTCTCTCTGGGTACCCCGGCTTCCTCCCACAGTCCAAAAACATGACTGTTAGGTTAATTGGCTTCTCTAAAGTCCCCTTAGGTCTGAGTGTGTGTGTGAATGGTTGTTTGTCCTGTTTGTCTCTGTGTTGCCCTGCGATGGAACGGTGACCTGTCCAGGGAGTACCCCGCCTCTCGCCCGTAGACAGCCGGAGATAGGCACCAGCAACCCTTGCGACCCAACTAAGCATGTTAGAAAATGGATGGGATGGATGGATCAAGCCAGTCATCAGTGTCAAGATCATGACACACACTGCAAGTCCAAAAAACCACAGGTCAGACTCAGCTATTTTCACCTCTAAATATGGATATTGGTGAAAAAGTTCAATAGCCACACCCTCACCACACCATAGAGGCTTTCTCTCGCTGCTGTAATTGTAATGTTTTTTTTTCTTATCTTTACATACATTTAATAGGCCTACATACCTAAATTGTGTGTGTGAAGAACGCTGATAAGATGCAAAATAACCAGTAGCCAATTAAAAATGCTACCCTTTAAGGTTTATATTTTGCAAATCTGACTCTAAAAGAGTCAGCGCCTCACCAACGATGAACCTCACCGCAAGACACTTGTCTCAAACTTTATACGCCGAAGTAATTTCTTGGGATTTTAAAAGAATAGAGCAACTCATTGCAGTGCATGACTCTGAAGTCAAAACAAAACAATTTCATTTTATAAAAATAAATTGGGAAAGCAGTTAGTACATTAGTACTGGGACTCTTAAATAAAGTAAAAAGTCACCTTATACAGTAGGTAAAAGAGAAATTTTCCTGAGGGTGTTTATTTCTATGCAAACAATCAGGGATAGAAACAATAATCGACTTCTGATTATTTGTTGAATAATTATTCATTAGATAAATTCTGATTAAGGGATATTGACCCCCAATTGATGGCGAGGTGGACCCCCTAATTATATATACTGTGAGAAATTATGTTATCAAACTGGTCCTATAGACACTCTATTACAGATGTAATCATGTAACGAAAGTAATTTCTCCCTAGAATGATTCTGATTCCTCGTTTATGGGACAGGTGTTGTGAATGAAACGGTTCCCAGCTTGAAAGAGCTCCTGTGTGTCGCTGAACATGTGCATTGATGGCTGAAAGACATCTTCTGCCTCCATTTATCTGTTTACTACAGTCTGTTGAACTCATCTTAATGTGTATTGAAGACATTTCAATTAGTGGGGGAAAAAAAGTCAACCAAAACTTTCGCGGCCCCCACGCAGTACCTCGGTGGACCCCCTGTTGAAGATCTCTGTCGTAAAGTGAAGCCAGACGGTTGAAATGATATAAACAAATTCCAGATCCGGATTATTTTCCATTGTTAATTATGAAAAAGGTGCGGAATGCACTAAAAAAAAACCAAAAAGCCCTAATTCAGCCATGCTACATGGCAAAGACGGTTCATCTTTGAAACAAAAAAGGAAAGTTAAAAAAACGCATAATACCAAAAAGCAAGGTAGATTGTTAGAGCTTTGGTGAGTTAATGCACTTTGTGGAGCCGAGTTTTAATATTCCTAAAGGAGCAAACATAAGCAACCATTTAGAAGCACAACTAAACACACAAAGTCTCACTTTCATTACTGACTGTTTGATTACAGAGAAAATTTTTCACAGTAACCAGCTATAGCCAGTAAAGTCTGACAGTATGTCAGAGTGACATACCCTTTCTTTAAAAGATAAATTGATGTCTGTGTTTTTGGTAAATGATAAAAGTTTTCCATACTTTATTATATATTCATCTGGCTGTATGTTTCTAGCATTTGTAATTACTTTACTTTGTAAATAAATATGAAATATATATAAAAATGAATATATATTTTTAGGAGAGAGGGTTCCATTCTGGTTAATTTTAGGGTCACAGAATACTAGAAGTTCCATTAGGTTCCGGGACATGAGGGCCAGAATAAATAACATCTCAGTCTGATAGTTTCCTCGTTCTCAAAGGTCGGATTTGTGGCATTCGCGACTAAAGGCTGATTTATACTCAGAAACTAGGTCGTCTGTGTGTGAACGCAAATGTGCCCCTAGACGCTCTGCTGCACCTGTCCGAAATTTAGGTAACGGCAGAGAGTTCCACAGACAGAAGGCCTCTGATTGGTCAAGTCTACATCCGCTCTACACTATGTGTATTTCATGTTTGGTACCTTGTCTTGCCTTTATGACCACCATTGTGAAAAACGAATCGTTAAGTTGGACCAGCTAGAAGGTGCGCGAGAAAGCTGGGAGCCTTTTTCCACCTGGATCCCCGCTCTTTTTTGCCCTCATGTCCCACCGTTGTCGCACAATCTTGCCCCCATTTTCTCACCGCCTCGGCCGTATCTAGACCCACGGCTAATTCGTGACTGTCCCTTTATGTGGCGTGGAATAACTTAGTGCAGACCACGCTTCAATATTGGGCATAAATCAAAAATATCTGCGACAATCACACTGCATCTGTAGCAGTAAAACCAGGCCTTAATACATTTCTACCTGATCTGCAGATGTCATGTGTTTCATGTAGACAGCCATGTCTCAGTTGGTCTAGTTGTACAATGCTGACTTGCATTTGTAGGAAAAACTGTCTATCGCTCAAAATTTCAGCAAAACACACTTTAGTTTGCATTTCGGTGTTAAAAACGTCCCCAATGTCTTAGCATTTAAGCATCCTCGGCTGGTTTCTCGGACGGATCAACATTAACAGGGGTTTGAAGCTTCACAATCCAACCGAAGGCTTAAAGTTCAGCTTTTCAATCTATGCAGCATTCCTATTGCTGTCCCCTCCCTGCACTCCCCTGTGGAAACATCAATATTTTAATGTTTTCAGTTTCGATCCAAGTACAACTTCAGAAAGGATTGGTTATTAGTTTTTTTTTTCTTCTTTTTTTTTCACAAGCAACTTGTTTTCTAATGCATGACCATTTAAAATCATGGTGTGTTATCTGTGTGTGTGTGGGGAGGGCTGTTGTGTCAGGAAAGGCTAGAGGTCCAGCTGTTTTTGGAGCACAGCTGAGATGAGCTGGGTCTCAAAACACATAAAACTATGTGTAAGATGCACCTACATCATAGATGCATATAAATATATAGAAATAATGCCAGTTTTAAGCCGTTAAGATGCATTTTTCTTTCAAATCAATCCTATTCAGGAGTTATTACGCAGTAATAACCAGGAGGGTTGGTTATTTTACCTTAACATAGCCTTCATGACAGTGCAGTCTGTCTCCAGGCTGCAGTCTAGACAGTGTCATTAAAAATTGACTGAGGTTTTCAGTGAACTGACCGCTGGTGTGCTCCCGCTGCTCCGGGCTGGAAGTGACCGTCTCCGTGTCCACTTTGCGCCGGCACTGGCCCTGGCCCTGCACCAGTTGCTCCAAGGGAAGCTCCGAGTCGGGGGTCGGGTAGCAGCGCAGACCGGTGGAGCACCTCGGGGTGTAGACGCCGCACGCCTCGCCCTCCTGCCGGGCGCACACGGGGCAGCACCCGCAGCCAGGCTCGCGCACCATCTCCGCGCACGGCTCGGCGAGCTGCGGGCAGAGCGCCTGGCGCTCCGCGGTGCAGCCCGGGCAGCGGAACACCATCTCGGACAGGGAGGCGCCGGAGAAGGGCGAGGAGAGGAGGAGAAGCAGGCTGCAGGCGGCGGACCACAGCATGGTTGGAGAGGTGTGGGCTTTGGTCACTGTCACTGGGCTGATCGAAGGCAATCCGGAGTAGGGGGGGAGAAAGGGGGCATGAAATGTGTCTGTGAACAGGTGAAAGCGGGGGAGGAGAGGGCTGCTGGGTCCTACAAATTCCCAGGTTTGGGATGTGGCCACAAAGGATGTGAAGCTACACCGCTGGAAATACATTGAGTATGGAGTGAGTTTTGTTCCAATATTGTTGCAAGCAAAAAAATTCTAATTTCAAAACAATGCACTCCAGGAATAAAAATGTAAAAAGTTTTAAGAGTAACTGTACTGTCTCTTTGTTACGACGGAGTATTAGGGCCACACATGAAGAGAAAAAATATTTTTGCCATGACGAGATTAAACTCGACATGTCAACTTTAAAGTCGACATGTCGACATTAAACTCAACATTTCGAGAATAAAGTTGAAATGTCATGTTGAGTTTAATCTCTACGTGTCGACTTTAAACTCGCCCTGTCGACTTTAAACTCGCCATTTCGAGAATAAAGTTGATATATCGTGGCGACTTCAATCTCGACATTCCAAAGTTTGGAGAAAAGAGCAACCGCGCTCCACAGCTGCAGTCTGCTTTTTATGAGTGAAGGTAGTCTTTGACGTGCTGCAACTGTATAATCATCACAGGAAGCGGTGGCCTACCAATAATAACGTAACGTCTTTCCCTATGCTTACCCAGGCTCGCAGTTCTGAATTTGAGAACATGTCAGTCATTTCAACTTTATTCTCGAAATGGCGAGTTTAAAGTCGACAGGGCGAGTTTAAAGTCGACATGTCGAGTTTAATCTCGTCATGGCAAAAATATTTTTTCTCTTCATGTGTGGCCCTAATACTCCGTCGTACTTTGTAGATCTGTCTCTGCCACTTGAAAGTAAAATTTTAAAAAAGTTTAATAATTATGAGATTAGAACTCATAATTCCGACTTTCAAAGTCATAACGTATATCAAAAATAATAATTATGAGATTGAAAGTCATCCTTATTTGATGTTTAATAGCTTTTTTTTTTTACTTTCAAGTGTTGGAATTGAACTTCCATAGTTTCCTCAGATTATTAGAAGTAAAACATATTCTATATATTTTTTTGCTCTTTATATTTTTACAGTTTTTATGGCAGAATTTTATTATTCCTCATTTTAGGTTGAGTTTTACCAATTTTATCCGTCTCAAATTGCGTTTAACAGATTATATTCTCTTCACTTCTGGAGGCGGAGTTCCTGCTGGAGTGAGGAGAAAAGATGCATTTCTAAGTAAAGAAAACATGATCTGTAAGGCAAAGTTTGGAAAGAATGCTATTCATAAAACTTAAACTGAGAAAGAGAAATTTGATAAAAGAAAAAGATATAAAATAAAATTAAAAAAATTAATTGTTTGAGCTTTGTTTTAAAATAACATCTAAGAAAAGAACAAAGGTGCTCGCAAAACCCTTTTTTATTTTTAATTTTTCAAAGTTTAATTTTTGGATTGCATTCTATTTTTATTTCCATTTAATGTACGGGCTCTTTCGTTTCAACAATCATAAAAACAAAATCAATTAATAGTTATGGGGAGGCAGAGAGAGCAAGTAATCAATCACAATTTGAATTTCTAAAGGTTAGGTGCATGTTAGACACAAATGAGATAAGATTTGAGTTTATTATTTACAATTTATTAAAGATTTAATAAAATATAGATTCAAAACAAAACCCTGCATCTGAATATGTTTATAAATGGGTAGTTAAATATCTTAAAAACAGATAAGAAAAAAGGAAGTTCTATACGAGTACCATTTTCCTTTAAAAATAAAGGACAAGGAAATATGTTTGATATTAAAATTTGTGTCAAAACAATACTAGCTTTTTTTTGTTTGTTTTTCTCTATGCTGCTATTGGCATAGGCTGCTGAAGGACATAGCGACCCATTTTCATCATTCTGGTTCATTCTATATCTTTTATTCTCCAGTATATGTTGTTTAAACCCAAACTTTATGTTATCTCTGCATTTTCTCATCATAGTAGCTTCATTTGGCCTGATCCTTTTTGGCTGTGACTCCATCTGTTGGAGTTGGGCCTTATTTTCAGTCCCATTTGTCTCCCAGACCATGGAAATTATGGACTCATTTTTTACTGTGACTAACTTTGTGTGCTCTAATTCATCCTTTTGGACATTACAACTGGTTTATAGTTCACTGCTTAACTGTTTTTTTTTCTAGACAGAGCTACATTTGGATCCACTTTACTTAGGTACCTTTCCCAACATAGAAAGTATGTATAGATCAGCGCCTCTAAGTCCGTTTTCCTCGATTCCCCAGTCGGCCTCGGCAGAAGGACATTTCTACAGAGCCTGTTTAGCACCTAATAAATACGTAAGTTTGAAGGTCCTACAAATTCACATCTCTGGCTGATTCTCTTTTACTATTTAGAACTTATTGAAAGTTTAACAAAATATAAATTGAAAACAAAACCTTGCACATATTAGCATGTGGATCTGTTTATAAATGGGTAATTCTATATCTTAAAAACAGAGAAGCAAAATTTATTTCTATAAAAGTACAGGCCATTAACAATTTTCGATTAAATGTAAATGACAAGGAAACATGTATAATATATATATATATATATATATATATATATATATATATATATATATATATATATATATATATAAAACAATATTAGACCTTTATTTATTTATTTATTTTTTTCTTTTTGCTGCTATAGGCATAGGCTGCTGGAGGACATAATGACCACTTTTCCTCATTTTGGAAGCATTTATTAACTAATTAATTTGTCTGGTTTTGCTGGTAGTTTTCCCTTCCACTGTTACTGCATGCATGCTCGTTGTGAGGGATTACTGTAGAGGCAGCAACACAAGGCAAGTGAAAATTTACTGTCGCCCCATGCTCATCCAGGAAGAGGGCATCCTGGAAAGTCAATGGCTGAATGCAATCAGCTGGGTTTCCTTAAAGGTATAGAGGAAGATCTTTTATTTCCCGGGTGGATCATCTAAATAAGTGTTCCTTTTAATTGTCAATCAATCTGGTGATATGTTTACATAAGGCCATACTACATGGTCACACCGTTAGCTATCTTTTTTTTTGTGCACGCACACTTTCAGCTGCATATATGTGGAGTTTAAGACAGTCATTGAAGCTCACCTTTCTTTTTAGAAAATGGCCAAGGGTCGTAAGAGAAAAAATGTCTACGAAGTATATGAGAAGAAGAGAAAGGCCCCAGAAGAGGCAGATATATCCCAGAATACTTCCTGACAGCAGCGACTAATAACAAAGATAGCACAGTGGAGGAGGAGTTACGTGACCATCTGAGCAAAATGCAGTGATCATCCATCCGAACAGTCAGTAAACTTATAGTTTGCTATAAAGTCCACTATATAGTCACGCTGTTTGTGGAAACAGTAAGCTTTTATGAGCTATGAATAACGCAAATTTTAAACAGGGTGTGCATCAGGAGAAAGGTGCTCACCCTTGCATGTGCATTTATTTTATTTTTTTTATTGGAGAGGGCTTTTTTTTTTTTTATCCTCCACAATAACTTAAATAGATAATCTTTAATCTGACTGTATCATCTGATTACATTTTCTCTATAAAGTACCTTGAGATGACTGGGTTTTATCTTATTAGGGGTACATTTCAGTCATGCGCTTTTCCATTTACTAATGATGGATGGAAATTATGTTTAACACAGCTGGATTTGTTGGATTGAACAAGATTAAACCAGATTTTAGATCAGTATGTATGGTAGAAGAGTGAATACACTGGAAAAAAAATCTAAACCTAGATTAGTCATTTTTTCTTAAAATAAGTGCATTTGTTCTTGAATTGAGAAGGTAAAAGAGACATTTTGCAAATGGAACAAGACAATTTACATTTAAAATAAGAAAACGCAATTGCATTGTCTTATTTCAAGTGCATTTTATCTAAATATCTTATTTCAAGAGTAAAAATACTCGTTCCATTGGCAAATCATCTCATTTACCTACTCAAAAAAAGGGTAAATACACATAATTTGAGAAATTTTACTTATTTCTAGATCGTTTTTCCAGTGTACAAAAGCAGACCCCATCTTTCAGTGGTCGGAAAATTGGTCTTTTATAGAATCCCATTAGAATACAATGAAATCAAGATTCAATTACATTTTGTAGGACTAGAGTGAAAAAAACAAACAAACTGATAGTCAAATTACCAGAAGAACAAAAAAAACTGAAATTTGAAATTAGTTTTGGGTGAAGGATACATCTTTAATATCCAGAAATAATTAGATCCACCTTAGAGTGACTTAAATGCATCAAATACCTATTTTACTCTAGTTATTATTCCAAAATTTTATGGAAAGAAATCCTTTTAATTTATAGCCTCTCCTGTATGTTTTTTGGGTTTAAAAAGCACAAAAAAATAAGTTATTGTTGATTTGGTAAAATAGAAAAACGTAAAGTGGATTTAAAACATCCTGAGACTTTAACCTCGCAATGAGCACAGGGCAACTTGTTTGTTTCAATCAACACGGCCTTCCCGAGAGCGCCTAAGTAAACAAACAAACCAAACAAAAAAAGAGCGCGATGCGATGAGGACCAAATGTCCATTCACATTCACTTCAAAATCTGCCAACTTCCACCAACTAACACGCCTTTACAGTGATGCTACTGTTCAAATCCACGCACTCTTTTCCTATCGATCGGTGAGGCCAAGCCTCGAGGTGTCGTGCCTGACCACGAAACAAGCCCATGTTAACCCCATCCAGCGCTGCAGTCTAATAGGTGTTTATCCAAGGGACCCAGAAATAGCTCTGGTATGTGAAACCTAACACCGCAGGTATAAATGCTGATTATTTTGTTTCGTGGGTGCACCCTGAGTTAACATTATTTGGCCCACCTCACATCTGCAGCTCACCTTGGAGGCTAAGAAACAGATAAAGGTGTGAGTCAGGAGGATGCCTGGAGGGCTGTTTGCTCATAGAACCTCATATGTCATTTTCTGAAACCATGGGTGGAAAAAGGCGCAGGAGAGAAGGCCTGCTGTTTTATAAATACGAGCCGGGGGGTGAGGATTTGTGTCCAGGTCGGTCAGCGGCTAATTAGACCGAAGAGGCCGCTGAGTCCGTCTGTGTGTGCAGAGTAATTCCCACCAAGGTCATTTACTTAAATTCCTCCCTGTGGAATTAGTTGAACAAACACAAACTCT